GCGCGGGCCGTGGCCTGGCGGGGGGTGGCGGGCGGCTGCTCAGGCTGGCCGGGCCGCTGGGCGGCGGCGTCTGGCGACCTCCAACCGCCGTTGTCAGGGGCCGCGCCGTGCGCCCCTGCGCCGTTTGTAGGAGCTGCGTCGTCGTCCTGGATCGTGGTTCGCTCCACCTGGGCTACGCGCGGCGGCCGGGGGCGTTGCCGCTGCAGGGGCGTGTGGTGCGCAGCGGCGCGTTGCCCGGCCTTGGCGCTGCCACTGGGCAGGCGGCCAGCCCTGAGTGGCTGGGGTAGCATGGCTGCTGGTCTAAGGGATGTAGTCGCTCGGCAACAATTGAGGCGTGCCGATATCACTCGGGTCGAGTGAGCTTGTGTTCGCGTGGTGGTGAGCAAAGAGGGACAGATCGCTGATCAACTCTCACACAAAAAAGCGCCAAAGTCGTTCAAAGTTTTAGCGGAACCCATCGATACATGTTCTGTGGGTCATTGTTCACCGCCGGTGCGTTGTCCTCTTTCGATGGAACGAGGGTGTTGTGCCGCAAATTTTGACGGCCTAGGGCAGGACCGTCGATAGCCGGGCGTTGTTCAGACAGCGTATCACTCCTCTTTCTGAATCGCACCACAAACCTCGAGCAAAAGCACGACGCACCAAAAGCAGGTGCCATCACAAGCAGCAGTCTCCACATCGCTGAGCGGTGTTGGGTGGAGCCTTCGGCAGCGGCAGCGCGTTGGGGTTTATCGCTTAGATAATAATTAGCGGCCCGAGGGGCCCAGGCCTGCAGCGCGTGCAGCCTTGGTTTTGGGAACGGGACTCGTCCTGCTTGCCCGGCGTGGCATGCAGGCATGACCCCGGTTAACAAAAAGCAGTGAAAGACTCGATTGACCGAGTCGCTGCGCGTGGTGACACAGCAGGCCTGTCAGGCAGCAACGCAGTCGCGATCATGCAGGCGTCCGCAGCCAACGGGGCGGAGCCCCCAGACGATTTAGAGGACGGTGAAGGGCCCAACGTGGTGGAAACGGACCCCACGAAGCGCTACATCAGGGTGAGCAAGTGCCGCCGTCGCTCGCGGCGAGTTCCGTCACCACCGGCAGCATTGGGCCAGTTCGGGCGGGAATCGCCCCAGCGCGGCCCCCTCGGTGCCCATGCGGCCGGCAGTGGCGCTTTTGTACTGCCGCGGCCGCCCTGCATACATGCATGCGGCTGCACCGCACGCCCCGGGGCCGGCCGCCGCCCGCCGGGACCTGCTCACCCCACAATGCGCGCGGGGGACACACGCATGCGCGCCCGGGACACCCATGCGCGCCGCCCGCCCGCCCCCGCCCCGCCCCATGCGAGCAGTACGATGTGGTCCTCGGCCGAGGCGCGTTCAAGACCGTGTACAAAGCGTTTGACGAGGCCGAGGGCATCGAGGTGGCATGGAACCAGGTCAAAGTCAACGACATGGCGCTCAGCACGGCCGAGCGCGAGCGGCTGTTTGCAGAGATCCGCGTGCTCAAGCAGCTGAAGCACAAGAACATTATGAGCTTCTACGACAGCTGGCTCGACATGAAGAACTTCACGGTCAACTTCATAACGGAGCTCTTCACGTCGGGCACGCTGCGCCAGTGAGCGGGCAGGGGCGGGCGCGGCGCCGCGCGGTTCAACGGCCAGCTGTGGGGCTACGCTGACAGGCAGTGGCAGCTGCGGGGGCGCTTGTGGTCCGGCTCTGCGGCGGCGCCCGGGGCGCGGCAATCTCGGGCGCGGGTCAAGCCCCGCGGGCCCACTGCCGCGCCGTTCACCCCCTCCCCCCTCCACATCCCTCTCACAATCCCTCAAAGGTACCGCAAAAAGCACAAGAGGATTGACGAGCAGGTGCTCAAGCGCTGGGCCTGGCAGATCCTGCAGGGCCTCGTCTACCTGCATGCACACGACCCGCCCATCATCCACAGGCGAGCGCCCACGCCCCCGCCCCCGGCGCCCACCGCACGCCAGGGGCCGCCCGCCGCACCACGCGCCTCGCTGTCCGCCGGCCGTCCCAGCCCCCTTGCGGCCCCGGCGGTCTCAGTCCCTGTGTTGTGCAGCCCCGCAGGCAGCGGTTGCTCCAGGGTCGGCTCGCGGCTGTCGGTGCTCACTCCCGTGTTCTTCTCCAGACCTTGGACCCCCCGAATGATGCCTGACCTCTGAATCCCCCACCCCACCCCCCAGGGACCTGAAGTGCGACAACATATTCGTCAACGGCACCAGCGGCGTGGTCAAGATCGGCGACCTGGGGCTGGCGACGCTGTGGCGCGGGCTGACGACGCCGCAGAGCGTGCTGGGCACGCCGGAGTTCATGGCGCCCGAGCTGTATGAGGAGAAGTACAACGAGAAGGTGGGGGGGCAAGGGCTTGGGGGGAGGTAG